AGCCTGGTGATGGGTATTGAGGAGGGCACGTTCTGCATGGAGCACTGGGTGTTATATGCAAACAATGAATCATGGAACACTACAACAAAAACTAATGATGTAATGTATGGTGATTAACATAACATAATAAAAAAAAGTTAAAAAAAAGGCAACTCTGGATGATTCTAGAGATCATTGCACTTTTTAAGGCCGTATTTCCTCATCTATAACATGTGGATTGAAGACTACCATATCTGAGGTTTAAGTAATATAGTGAATATAAACTGCAGTGTGTGTATAAATAAACAAATAAAATGCTTGGCACATAAAAAAAAATGAATTAACCCAACCTTTGACTTAAGTGTTAATCATAGCAATAGTCTACAAGTTAGCTACCTTAATATGTTTAATTAATGATCCCACAATCTTCAAAATAGAATCTTTTAAATAAGTAAGCATCTTGGTATTTATAAAGAGGAAATGATTACCTAAAGCAGAGACCATTAAACCACTGTGAATGTAAGTACTGGTTCTCTACACTAAAGGATGGCATCAAGATAGAGTCCAACAAATAATCTGAACATGGCAGATTAATTTAAAAAAGAAAACCATAATCATTATGAAAGAATTCCAATAATAGACAGTATAAAATATGTGTAAAATTTTCTAATTACTAGAAGTAGAAACAATATACTCATAGAAATAAACTAATATTAATTTTTTTGTAATTGCTTTCTTAACTGGTTAAAGTTTAATAAAAGTAGAAGTACAATTATAATAACCTTAAAATAAAACTGGTTCTCAACTGGGGACAATTTTGCCCACCCCGCTCTGCCCAGGGGACATTTGGCAATGTCTGGAGACATTTTTGGTTGTCAAAGCTGGGGGTGGGAGGTGCTACTGGCATCTAGAGTTTAGAGGCCAGAGATGCTGCTAAATGTCTTAAATTGCACAGGACTCCCCTCTTGCAACCAAGAACGACATGGGCCAAAATGTCAATAGTGCCAAGTTTGAGAAACCCTGCTATAAAAATGGGCACCCTGCTATCTATACCAATAGCAGTTAAACCTGAAAATTTAAGAAAAAGGCAACAGAATTTAGTATACATTTGAACACACAGATGGAAAATAATATTCCAAAATTTAGGGATAAAACCAACTTAATTTTGGCCTTCATGATATTGAATAAATGTCATATCGTTTCTTGCCATTATTAGCTTCTTGTTATTGCACTAATTATAAGGCTTATGGCCCTATTTCCAAAAATCTTTATATTCGGTATTTTGACTTAGTTCTTTATACTTGAAATGACTTTTATGGAACATACCAGTAAGCAAACTAAACTACACATATCAAATAATTTAAAGTGGGAACTGGTAAATATTGGCATTTCATTTGATAACTGCTAAAATGCAAAAAAAGGACAATGTATATAGACGAATGTTTCTTTCTATTCAAATTTCTTCTGTCACCATCTGTGAAGGAAAAAACACTCTCTAAGAGACTTTGTGTGCTTAATTTTAACCCAGGGCAAATTTTTATGACTGAGTGATAAACCCACAAAACCGGAGTTCACATCAGAAGCCCTTATACTACTAACCATAATGATACCAATGGGTATTATCATTTTTAAAAGCGTAAAAAAATCAATAAGCAGACTGTCATTACAGAAACTCATTCTTCATCACACATATCACCCAAGAGATTGATATTTCATGCTTATAAAACTTAACATAAAATTAAATTGCAAATATTTTCTCATAATCTACTAAAACTATGGCCTAAAGCAATACACTGCTAATATGAAGCATTTGTTCAGCTCGAGTGGGCATATTTCTATATGATTTATGTAAAAGAAGGCTTCATTTGCTTCTCATAGATTCAGTAATGAGGTTTCTTTCCTTATATTTAGCCCAGAAAGTAGATGAACTTCTTTGAAATTAAGCCAGCAAATATAACATTGAATTATTAATAAACAATAGTAAAATTAACAAACTGAAGGTTTTCTCCTTGTGTGTATGACTATGTGGTTTCAAACACCAGCCATTCTTTCATTATCCAAATACATAAAAAGCAGCTCAATTTCCCATACAGAAAATACATTTCATTCTTTCAGCATAAAACAAATAGTAATAAATTTCAAGTAAAATAGTAGGTTGTGATTTTTTTCCCCCTGAAATCTGAAACAATAAAAAATAATTTCAACCATTAAAAAAAAGTTAGGGGGTGCCTGGGTGGCTCAGTCGGTTAAATGTCTGCCTTCGGCTCAGGTCATGATCCCAGCGCCCTGGGATCCAGCCCCACATTGGGCTCCCTGCTCAGCGGGCAGTAGGCTTCTCCCTCCCCCTCTCCCTCTGTGTGCTCTCTCTCTCAAAGAAAGAAAGAAAGAAAGAAAGAAAGAAAGAAAGAAAGAAAGAAAGAAAGAAAAAAACAAAGAAATCTATCTTAAAAAAAGTTAGGAATAACAGAAAGGACAGTTGTGGAACCAATAGTTTGTCTTAATCTATTGGGATGTGAATAACACTGAGTCCATGAGGTAAAAGAAAAAATTGATTTCAGTATTATCAACCCGATGCACTGTGAAACTTACATGTAGCACTTTTTAGCCAGTGAAGCGTTTTCTCATTAGCATACTTCACAATACAAATAAAAGGAATTAACATCTTTATCTGGAACTTAAAAAAAACTACACATTTAGCTTTATGCTGAAATATCTTTGACAACTTGAAAAATTAGCAGATTTTACACCAAAATATAATAGGGAATTCTTACCTTAAGCATTCAGCATCATTTTGAGGCTTTTCATTGATTTTTACTTTTTCTGCCTCTAGGTATTTGGTAGTACAAATGGCTTCATTCTTTTTATCTTCAAAAACTAAACAAGAAAATGCTTACAGTCTTCAAAAAAATAAACATAAAGAGTTAACTTTATTCATTCGTAAGAACAATATTCTAATTTTTGGTGCTTTATGTAAAATGTATGTACTCATGATTCTTATTTTTCTACTTTAATATAGCAATTAAAGGCATAAAAAAGATCTCGACAAAATTTATGACATTAAAACTACCAGATCTAACACCGTTTATTTTAGTGTTTTACCTATTTCTTCTTTATACCAATAATAACACTGTACCAATAAGTTAGTGCAATTTGAAATAATAATACAACCCTGTTATGTGTATGTAACTATATTCATCAGCAAAATAAACTAGCTCATAAAGATAATACCTTTAAGTTTTCTCTGCAGAGTAAGTAATTCTTGTACTAATTCACTCTTTTGTTTTTGAAGTTCACTTAACTGGCCACTATCATGTTCCATTGACTTCATTTCTAGAAACAAATAGACAAATAAAAGCCATATTTTAACCACTTAGGCTTTGCCTTGAATATGTCAGCGATTATTAACTTTTTGTGTGTGTGTAGTAAAAATTTAAGCGGCACATGGTCAATTTTAAACTGATAAAAACAGATACTATACTTGATCTTAGCCAAAAGGCTGAGAAACGATTCATATAGTCAATTTTAAGCCCCAGCAGGCTTCCTTTGGCCATCTAGAAACTGTTTCTAATAAACTGACTAGGATTCATTAAGAAACAACGAGGTACAAAAGAATTAGTTAATTGATGGTTAGACTACCTAGAGAGAATTCAAAATAACGTAACATCACTAAATAAAACAAGCTTCCCAATGAGATAATAAGAAAACTATCCTTCATAAGTAAAGCATGTTTAAAATGACATTGCATAGTACTCACTATATGGCTACAAACTTCCACAATACTGCTAATATTGCTTCTTCTACCTAAAATATCTTTCCTCTCCTTATCCCCACAGCAAACTCCAATTCATCCTTTAAGATTCATCTCCTAATTTTTCAAAAGGTATACAATAAAGTAGGACACAAAATTTATAACACATGACACTACATAACTAGCTAACTTCCTTAATTTACAAAGAACTCATATAAATCAGTAGGAACAAAAATGTAGAAAGATGAACAAAGAATATGAACAGATTGTTCACAGGAAAATAAAAAGAAATTTAAGTGATCAATAAATTCAGAAAAGTAAATTCAACATCACGCAAAATCAAAGAAATGTGAATTAAACCAACAATAAAAATAATATTTTTGCTTGTCAGATTGGTAAAGATTAATGATAATACCCAGATTGGTAATGGTGTAGAATAATAATATAAGAAAACAGGCACTCTCCTATAGAGTTGGTAGGAAAATTAATTAATTCAGTGCTTTAAGGAGTCTAATTTGGCATTAACTCTCTTAATATTTTCCTCTGACCTAGTAGTTTCATTAGTAGATTTTACCAGGCAAATATAGTCACAAAAATATAGGGAGATATATACTCAGATAATTAGAGGCCCCTATTGATGGTCATGTAGGTTGTTTCCTGATTTTATTTTTATTTTGTTTTGTTTTCTTCTGAAATCACCACCAGTCCCTCCACTGGTGCACCATTTCCTATCTTCTCTGGGAACTTTACTTCTCTCTTGAATTTTCAACTCTACTTCTCCATGGGCTCTGATCAATCATCATTTAATATGTTCAAGTATCTCCTGTCTCAAAAAACAGAAATGAAAAAAGGACAACACATAAACCACTAAAAGCCCTCCCCTGACTTCATATCCCCCTGGGTTACTGGACTGTCTCATCCAGAGAAACTTCGCTTAAAGGGCTTGTGGGCGCTTATGATCACCATTTCCTCTGCTCTCTCTACTCAACCCATTACAACCTGCCCTCTGTCCTTCCTTTTTTCCTACTTCCATCTGTTGCTTTCCCTAAAGATCACAAGGGACCACCCATGGCTGCTTCTTAGTCTTCATGGTTGACAATTTGGCAGCATTTAACATGGGCTGATCACTCCGTCAAACGCTCTCTCCCCGAGGTGATTTCCCTTCCACACAGTAATGTGTCCTGCCTACCTTTCACACTCTTCACTGGACTTTTTCTTCTTGCTTTGAAAACCCTGGTGTTCCTCAGGGTTCTAGTATTTTCTTTCAATTCATTTTTTCTGGGTGACTCCTGAATTTAACAGCTCCAGCCCAAATCTTCCTCGGAGCTCTTGACTTATATACCCAATTTTCTGACATTTACACTCAGATCTGCCATTTGGTTAATTCCTGCCACCCTTCAGACCTCAATCTGAAAGTCACTTGTTCGGGGAGAATTTCCTTCACTCCTAGTCCAGGTTAAGTTCCCTTATTATATATTTTCACTTCATTTTATACTTCTCCTTTTGAAGCAGTCATCGATTCATAATTATCTCTTTCATACTATTGGAGACAGAGCATTAAACAAAGTCCTGCCATTACAGTTTAAAGTTTCATATAAAAATGTTCTGATATATGTAGAGATGGGCTTTGTGAAAGTACAAAGACCAACAGTACCAGGTAGTATGGAAGCAAATCTATTAAAATAAATCCATATTTCTGGAAGAAAGGATACAAAATAGAGGTCTCCTACAGTATGTGTGGTATCAAGGATGTTTTCTTTATCACTTTTTTGGAGGAATAATTTACATGAACTATATCCAACCACTTAATAGCATACGAATCTATGAGTTTTGGCTCTAACATATACTCGTGAAAGCACCATAACAATCAAGAAACTGTGTATTTCTATCAATCCCAAAAGCTTCCTTTGCCCCTTTGCACTTTATTCATTCTGACCCAGGCAACCACACTGATCAGCTTGTTGTCACTTGCCTGCTTGTTGTCCCATACAATTTGCATTGTATGTAGTATGTGTTCTTTTGTGTCTGGCTTCTTTCAGGCACCATGTTGTCTGTGAGCAGATCTGTTATTTTTTATCTCTGAGTATTCCAATGCATGGAATACACCAATTTTGTTTATCCATTTACCTCTTACTGGACATTTAAAAGTTATGTTCAGTTTTTGGCTACTGTGAATAAAGTTACTAAAAACTTAGTGTGGACCTAAATTTCACTTCTCTGGTGTATCTAGTTGTAGAATGGCTGGGTCATATGGTAAATGTATGTTTAATGTTTTAAGAAACTGCAAAACAATTTCCAAAGTGGTTGTACCATTTATTTTACATTCCCATCAGTACCATATGAATTTCAGATGCTCCACATTCCTGCCAACATTTCATATGACCAGTCTTTTTAATTTTAATTAAAGGCGTGTACAGTGATATTGCATTGTGGTTTTAATTTGTATTTTCCTCATGACTAAAGATATTGAGTATCTTTTCATATGTTCATTGCTCATTAGTATATGCCCTTTTGTGAAGTTCAAATCTTTTTCCCCTTTTAGAATCAGTTTTGTTGCCTTCTTATTATTAAGTTGTAAGAGTTCATTATATTCTAGATAATAGTACACTGGCAGATATATGTATTGCAAATATTTTCTCCAAGTCTGTGGTTTGTCTTTTGATTTTCTTTCTTTTCTTTTTTTTTAAAGATTTATTTGAGAGAGAGAGAGCAGGAGCAAAGGTGCAGAGAAAGAGGGAGAAGCAGGCTTCCCACTGAGCAGGGAGCCAGATGCAGGACTCGATCCCAGGACCCCGGGACCATGACCCAAGCCGAAGGCAGACGCCTAACCGACTGAGCCACCCAGGTGCCCCTCTTTTGATTTTTCTTAATAGTGTTTTTTCTTAATTTATTTGAAATCCAATGTATTTTTTTTCTTTCTTTTATGGTTCATGTTTCTGTGTCCCATCTAAGAAATCATTGCCTATCTCAAGATGGCAAAGATTTCCTATTATGTTTTCTTCTAAGAGTTTCATGATGTTAGCTTTTATGTTTAGGTGTATGTCCATTCTGAGTTAATGCTTAATATGGTGTGAAGTAAGATTTAAGAATCATTGTTTTGCAGTGGATGTCCAATTGTTCCAGCAGCATTTACTGAAAAGACTTTCCTTTCCCCACTGAATTGCCTTGTTACATTTGTTGACATCAATTGACCTTATGGACTCTTTCATTCCAGTGGTACCTATATACCTATTTTTAAGCCAGTGACACACTGTCTTGATTACTATAGCTTTTCAACAAAATTTGAAATCAGGGAGTATAAATCTCTAAATTTTGTTCTTTTAAAAAATTTTGGCTGTTCTAAGCGATTTACATTTCCATATAAGTATTAGAATCAGCTTGTCAAGGCTTACTAAAACTTAATGGGATTTTTACTGAGATTCTGTTGAAACTATGATAAATTTGAAGAGACCCGATCTATTAACAAAATTGAATTTTCTAATCCATGAACATGATAGATCTATTTATTTAGGTCTTCCTTAATTTCTCTCAGCAATGCTCTGTAGTTTATAGTGTAGAAGTCCCTCATGTCTTTTGTTAAATTTGTTTCTATTTTGTTTTTTGATGCTGTTTAAATGGCATTTTTATTCCATTTTTCTATTGTTTGCTGTTAGTATATAAGAATTCAACTGATTTTCTTTTTTTCTTTAGAGAGAGATAGTGGAGGGGGAGGGGTATAGGGAGAGGGAAAGAGAGAATCTTAAGCATGCTCCACGCTGGGCAGACCTGAGATCATGACCTGAGCCGAAATGAAGAATCAGACACTTAACCAACTGAGCCACCCAGGTGCCCCTCAACTGATTTTTAAATATATACCTTGTATCCTATAACCTTACCATATTGACTTATTAATTTTAGTAATTGTTTTGTAAATTCCTTATAATTTTCTAAGGAAACAATCATGTAATCTGTAAATAGAGGCAACTTTATTTTGTCTCATTGAAAAGGTTAAAATGGCTAGGACATCCAGAGCTGTATTGAATGGAAGTGATAAGACTAAGCATCATTGCCTTATTCTCAATCTTTGCGGGTTAAGTATTTAATATGTCACCATTTCGAATGATATTGGTATTCGATATTTCACCATTAAGTGTAATATTAGCTGTAGGCTTTTCAAACAAGTTCTTTATCTGGTTGAGAAAGTTCCCTTCTATTCCTGGTTTTCTGAGTATAGATCCATTTACCAGTCCTCTTTTCCAGCCCTTTATGTGATAGCTGTCATATATGCATATGGTATGCACGTATACAAATTGCCTCTGTGTACATTATAAATTCTACAAGACAATATGTTATTTGCTTTAAACAATCATATGTGTCTTCTAAAGTTAAGAGAAAAAAATAGTATTTATAATTATCCATGTATTTGCCATTTCTGCTTATTTTAATTCATTAAATATGATCCAAGTTTCTCTCTGGTATTATTTTTGCTTCTACTTGGAGGACTTCCTTTAGCATTTCTTGTCTTTCAGGCATGATGGCAATGGAATCCCCTAATTTTTATTTATCTGAAAATGTCTTTTTTTAACTTCATTTTTGAAGGATATTTTCACTGGATAGGGAAAATTTTCTTTCAACACTTCCAAGATGTTATTCCACTGTCTTCTTGACTTTTATCATTTCTAGCTACAGGTACATAGTCATTAGAGTTACTGTTTTCTGTTTTCAAGATTTTCTCTTTCTCTTTGACTTTTTAAGTGTGACTACTAAGTGGCTAGGCACGGATTTCTTTGAATTTACCCTATTTGGGTTTGCTGAACTTCTTGAATCTGCAAATTAATGTCTTTTAGAAAATTTAAGAAATTTTCTGCCATTTCTTCAAATATATTTTCTGCCAATTCTCTTTCCTCTCCTTCAGAGACTCCAATTACTTGAATGTTAGACCTTTTAAAATTGTCCTACAGGTTCCTAAGTTTCTAGTTTTTTGTTTCATTTTATTTTAATTTCTCATCTCTTTCAGATTGGACAATTTCTATCAATCTATCTTCATGTTCACTGGATTTCCTATCACTTCATGTTCACTGGATCTCCTATCAGTTCCATTCTGTTATTAAGCTTATTCAGTGACATTTTTATTTCAGATAATGTATTTTTCAGTTCTAATATGCTTTTATTTTTTTTACATTTTCTATTTCTCCACTGAAATTACCTATCTTTTCATCTATTGCAAGTGCATCTTCCTTAACTCACTGAGCATAGCTCAATAATAGCTGCTATAAAGTATTTCATAATTCCAATGTCTAGATCACTGTGGGTTTGGCATCTCATGGTTTTCTTTTGACACTAGGTCACATTTCACTGATTCTTCAGAAGTCAAGTAATTTTGAATTGCATCTTGAACATTGTGAATATCATGTTGTGGAGACTGTGGATTTTTTTTGATATAATAGCCATTCTAATGGGTGTTAAGTAGTATCTCTTTGTGGTTTTGATTTCCATTTCTCTAAAGACTAGTGATGTGGAGCACCTTTTCGTGTGCTTATTGGCCATATCTTTGGAGAAACGTTTACTCAGGTCCTTTGCCCATTTTTTAATTGAGTTGTTTATTTTTTTGGTGTTGAGTTGTAGTTCTTCTATATTCTGGACATTAGAAGCACCTGGCTGGCTCAGTCAGTAGAGCATATGACTCTTGATCTTGGGGTTATGAGTTCAAGCCCTAAATTGGGTGCAGACCCTACTTAAAAAAATACTCTGGATATTAATCCCTTATCAAAGATATGATTTGCAAATATTTTTTCCATAAAAAACACAACTCATTCTCTCTGTGAGTTGTGTTTTTACTCTCTTGATAGTGTCCTCTGATATACAAAAGATCTTAATTTTTTTTTTTAAAGATTTTATTTATTTATCTGAGAGAGACACAGCGAGAGAGGGAACACAAGCAGGGGGTGTGGAGAGGGGAGAAGCAGGCCTCCCGCGGAACAGGGAGCCTGATGCGGGGCTCGATCCCAGGACCCTGGGATCATGACCCGAGCTGAAGGCAGATGCTTAACGACTGAGCCACCCAGGTGCCCCAAAAGATCTTAATTTTAATGAAATACAATTTATCTATTTTTTCTTTTGTTGCCTGTGTTTTTGATATCCACGAAATCATCTCCAAATCCAATATGATGAAGTGTTTCTTATATGATTTCTTCTAAGAGCTTTGTTGTTTTACTTAAGTTTAAGACTTAGCTAATTTTTATATATTGTGTAAGGTAAGGGTGGTATCCAGTTTTCCCAGCTCTATATGTTGAAAAGACTATCCTTTCCCATTGAATAGTCTTGGCACTCTTATAAAAAATCATTTGACCACATACACGAGGATTTATATTTAAGATCTCTATTTTATCCTGATTTTCTATATGTCTATCCTTATTCTAGTACCACACAATTTTGATTACTGTGGCATTTTAGTATGTTTTGAAATCAGGCAATGTTGAGTCCTCCAACGTCGTTCTTCTTTTCCAAAATAGTTCTGGCTCTTTGGGATCCTTTGGGATCCTATATGAATTTTAGGATGGGTTTTTCAATTCATGAAAAAAATGCTGTTGGGATTTTGATAGAGATTACATTGAATCTATACATCATTTTGGGTAATAATGCCATCTTAACAATACCAATGTTTCCAATCCATGAACATGGGATGTCTTTCCACTTATTTGGGTCTTCTTTAATTTCTTTAAGTAATGTTTTATATGGTTTTCAATGTACAAAGTCTTTTACCTCCTTGGTTAAATTTATTCTGAAGTATTTTATTCTTTTTAATACTATTATAAATGGATTTTTTTTTCCTTTTTGGATCACTTATTGCTCATACATAGAAATGCAACTTATTTTTGTGTGTTGATTTTGTATACTGCAACTTTGCTGTATTTATTTATTAGTCCCAGCAGTTTTTTGTGTATCCTTAGGTGTTCTATAAATAAGAGCATTATCATCTGGGCACAGAGACAATTTTACTTTTTTCTTTCCAATGTAGATGCCTTTTATTTCTTTTTCTTGCCTAACTGATTTGGCTAAAATTTCTAATACTATGTTGGATAGAAGTGGTGATATCCATGACTTTTTGCAGAAATTAGTTTTAAAGTATGTACCTATTTAACTTTGTATTCTAACTTGTTATTGAAAGTACACATCAATATCACCTAAGGGATTTTTAGAAAGTTATGTTCCCTATCTTCTCCCACAGATTCTGATTCAATAGGTCTTGAATGGGACTCAAGCATTTAATATTTTTTAAAGCTTTCCAGATGTGTGCCTCTGTCCTACACTCTCTACCCAAAGTAATTTATCTCTGAGAACCTTATTTCCTTCATCTATAAAATGAGACTAAAAAGTATAATCCTCACATTTTTTGAGGGTTTCATTATGTGGCAGGCAGCATTCTATGTGCTTCAGTATTATTTCATTGAATCCTCACAACAACCTTTGTTAAGGTCATGGTTACTAACCCCCATCTTTACAGATGGGGAAACTGAGCCAAAGAAAAGTTTAGCATCTTGCCCCAAATCACACAACTATCAAATGGTAAAATTAAGATTTAAATGAAATCAACATGATATTAGCAATTATAATCTTTAGGATGGTGGTTGTTATATAGTATAAGCCTGATGAATACTACTTAAAATAGTAATTTTGTCATTACTATTACAGTGTCATATACTATTACTATTACTATAACTATTACAGTAAAGTTGTCATATGCAAAGCAAAACAATAAATTATTCATATGGATAGCTCCAAGTCAATAAAAAAGTTAAATGTGTTTATTATTCTCCATTTACTAAAGGCATCAAAGTAACAGTACATTTTAGAAAGGCTTCCATTAAAAACTAATTTTCCATTTAATATCATTTATATTTTCATTCTCTACTTCGACTCCCATTGACTCCAATCTATTACTACTGCTCTACTCTATGCTACTGCACTTGACATCTTCTGATTATCAAATTGATATCCTATTTTGTTTTCCACTAATTTGAGGAATACATATTTTGCTTTTGGTTTCTAAAATATTACTCTCTGCTGGTTCTTATCTTGCCTTCTTTGACTACTCTGTCCCATTCTTTTTCTTTCTTTCCTTAAATGTAATGCTTTCCCAGTTTCTGGCTTTGGTCTTCATTCCTCATCTACGTTCCCTCTATATGTTTTCTCTGAATGATGTCACCAACTCCTCTAGATTCAGTCCCAAACCTAATGCTCTGGCTCTGATCTCTCTTACCAGCTTCACAACCAAATCTTCCCCTGCCACCTGGGCATCTTCCCCTATATATTCCATAGACATCTCCAACTAAAAATACCTGAAACAAAACTCAATCATTTTGTCCAGAATAGGCTATAGTTCCAACAGGCTTCTCTACCTCTGCTCTTCCTCCTGGTACCATATTCTACCCAATTTCTGACATATGGAAACTGGAAGTCATTCCTAACTTTCTCTATTTTTGTTCACATTAATCAGTGATAAAGTCCTATCATTATTCCTAAACATCTCTTTAATTTACCCTGTCTTCTCTTTGGCAATGTCTTTAGTTCAGGATCTTATCATAGATTGCAATAACCTGCATGCTAGGTTTCCTGAAATGAAATTCTCCCCACCCCACTGTGTAACCCTGTTTCCTAGTTTAAATTGTATTGATGGTAAAATGAGGATCATCGTACCAGTCCTACCCCTATTATAGCTTCTATCACATTGTACTATAAATACCTGCTTACATATTTGATTCCTCCACTTTTTAGTTTTATATCCCCATGACCCAGAATAATGCCTATCACATAACAGAGTAACAGATATTTGTTTATTGAATGAATGACTAAATGCCCATGTCACACCTACTTCTAAAGAACTTGAGACTGCTCACAATAAAAGATACATTTCCATTAGGATAATTAAGATAAATGCAAAAGAATAGTATGCAATAACCAATTTACTTATGAAAAAGTTAAATTTCTGGAAAATTCACTGGCTCAAAATAAGTTATTTTCATTAATGACAGATAAATGAGGTGGCACTATATACTCATACCCCTCTTCAAAATGTTCGCCTGGTTTTCTAAGTCAGATATTTCAATCTTGACATTTTCTTTTATCAAAAGCTTTCTTTTCTTTGTTACTTCATACTCATTATTGAAGTCTGTAATTTCCTTAATAAATTTTTCTTCCTCCTCTCTCACTCTTTTCTTTGTAGCCCCCTGGAAAACAAACAAAAGATCAAATATAGATGTTAGTTGTAATAATATTTTTCTTTAGTGATTTAAAATGCAATCATTTGGAATTATTAACAACAAAAATATAAAATTATACTTCCTGGTGTTATCACAAAAATGCTTTATTCCTCCAGCAATATTAATAAAAAAGTGAAGCTATTATATACTAATAACCAACTATTTCCACATGAAAGTTTTATCCTTAATGTTTTGGGAGTATTATTGAGATAGAAATTCTACTACTCGTCATTATATCTGTGTTTATTTATGTATTAACTTATAGCCATATATGGGTGCCATTCTGTCATTGCAATATAAGATTGGGTAAAATAATTAAATGTGCAAATGTGAAAATGAAAATCTACACTCAAAGGAATCACTGCTATAGAAAAAACAAACAAGGAAATCCAAGGAAACCTTTTAAAATATAGACAAAGGAGGTAAAATTATATATTTATTTCCAATTCAGTTCTACAAAATAGTTCACATTAAGAAACATCAACATGAAGAAGATAGAAGAATTTCCAAAAACTCTGCACAATGACAGAACCTAAATATTACTGTATTTATCTATTTTTTCTAAGAAATGTCAATTAATAGTGAACTACATTGAGAAACTAGACATGTTATGTATAAGCACAAAGTCTGTTGGTTCTGACTTCAGATAAATATTTTTAATATTTTTACATGTATTTTCTTTGAAATGTCAATTAATTATAAGTCACATTCCTAAACTGGCCCTGTCATTTAAAACTACTAAGTTTGTTGGTTCTGACTTAAGATAAAAAGATAAACAAAATCTATCTCTTCACCAAGATCCATAAATATGCCTTAAGTATGAACCTCTCTGTCTTTCAAAAGCATTAAAACCAAAGTCTCAAAGCCTGAGCAATTCAAATCAGTTTCACTGGGGTTTTTTATGCTTATTACAATTGCAAATAATTTCTATATTGCATCCCTGCCAATAGAATTCTTTCTAACTATATTACTCTACCAACTGGTTATAAATAGCACTTAATACTTTTCCATATCTGAACAGGACTATCTGCCAATATGCATACAGATAATTTTCTAACAGTACACCTAAGTATATCTAAATATTTTCAATACAGTTAGTAAAATAGGTATTTCTAAGTGGCTGGAGGCTTACAAAGGTTTGGAGAAGCATATTCCTCTGGTTTGTAATTTCACTACACTGTCTTTCTAAGGCATTTTCATGAATTTTCCAAAGCTGTAAGAGGAAGGCTTTTTCAGAAAACTGCTGAACCTTTAAAGTGAAAAAAACAGAAATCAGAATGAAACAATTAGTTAAACACTCAGGGTGCCTTAGCTAACAGAACAGATCTACATAGTATAAGATATTTTCTGTATTAACCTTAAATGAAAAATAAAATTCACATTACACATCTTATTTTATATGTACTATCATATATTATTTTATAAGTGTTCTACCATCACAAGTTTTATAATATTTTCCCCCAATAAGATAGGCCCCTCAATGGCAGAAAATGTGTTTTCTTTTTTCTTCACAGTACCCAACACATTTCTTAGCTTAGGTATCAAAAGCTTTTTTTTTTTTTAATTTTTATTTATTTATTTGACAGAGAGAGACACAGCGAAAGAGGGAACACAAGCAGGGGGAGAGGGAGAGGGAGAAGCAGACTCCCAGCTGAGCAGGGAGCCCGATGCAGGGCTCGATCCCAGGACTTTGGGATCATGACCTGAGCCGAAGGCAGACACTTAACGACTGAGCCACCCAGGTGCCCCGGTATCAAAAGCTTTTTGACTACACATATTAAACTCTGCTTCAAGACAGCCTCAGTTAAAGAACAAGTTTCTATTCTCATCACTTATAAGGAAGATATGGATGAATTAAACATGTATACAGTATGACTAATAAAATGAGATAAAATCTACAAACCAGAGGCAAAAACCCCGTCCCATGATTATAGTTATACTAAGAAAAACACAAATGTGCTAAAGACCTCAAATGCTTTTTCTAAATTTATTTTTTATTATTGTGTTATGTTAATCACCATACATTACATCATTAGTTTCTGATGTAGTGCTCCATGATTCACTGTTTGCGTATAACACCCAGTGCTCCATTCAATACGTGCCTTCTTTAATACCCATCACCAGGCTAACCCATCCTCCCACCCCCCTCCCCTCTAGAACCCTCAGTTTGTTTCTCAGAATCCATAGTCTCTCATGGTTCGTCTCCCTCTCCGATTTTCCCTTTTCATTCTTCCCTTTCTGCTGCTTCTTCCTTTTTTTTTTTTTTTAACATATAATGTAGCATTTGTTTCAGAGGTACAGGTCTGTGATTCAACAGTCATACACAATTCACAGCGCTCACCATAGCACATACCCTCCCCAATGTCTATCACCCAGCCACCCCATCCCAGAACTCATTTTTTATTTTAGTACCTCATTTGGTTCTAGTTAGCAAAATACATAATAAACATTAATATTGGATATGTAACTATTATTTCATTTGGGGCATAAAGAATAGCATCTCCTGAGACCATGAATATTGAAATGAAAGTCAGGAAGCTTTAATATATAAAAGCTAAAACTGATGTCAGACTGGGAATAATCTTTCCTCTATATTCAGTACTGGCCCTCATAAGAAAGCATCACTTTTAGTTTGGGGCTCTTCCCATCTCCACAGTGAAAAGAAAAAGAAAATAAATTCAATTTAAATTGCAGAAAGCAAGATTTATGTTAGCCATAAGAACTTCCTGAAGGTGAGAGACAGGGTGTGAAATCTCTGTCCCAGAAGATATTGAATAGTAAAGAGCTTAAGAATAGTCTAGTCCAGAGGCAAAGGGTTGGCCTGAAAGATATTTTGAAACGCTACGGCTAAAAAGTCCTGAAAATATTGGCATTAAAAAAGTAACAGAAAAAAAAGTAATGGAAATAAAAAAGAAAATATGGTCTTGCATATATATATAATATCATGGCACATCTGCTCACACCTTCAGTACTTGGTGCTGTTCTCATCAACTCTATCTTAAGAAAGACATCAATAGAGAGTGATGAAAGAGATACAATTTTCAGGACCAAAGAAACTCAGAAAATACTTTTAAAGTTGCGGGAAGGAAGAATGGGGCAGTTAGTTATTTTACTAAGAAGACAGAAATTAGAAATATGGCCAGATCTATGAAATCATATAGAAAATGGTAACAACAGCAAACAAGAGTATGATCATGAATTCTATCACATTTATTTAGAATAAGAAAATACTTCAGAGCTATTTAGTATTTATCATATAAATGAGAATAAAATGAGTTCCAAAGAAGTGAAATTCGTTAACAAAGGTAAAATAATTAAGTATAGGCAAACTCAGGACTAAAATCCAGCTCTTCTGACTTCTTTTCTCCTAAATTAGGAATAGAACTATTTCAAAGTAACAGAGATATTTCTGGAACTAAAAGGGACTTTAGTCTCTGATAAAAGCAGAAGATGAAAGTAGGTAAGTTTGAGAAACAGAAAAATTACCAGAACTTAATGAGAGAAGGCTGCTTGCAGTATATACCTAACTCTCAGAGCTGTTATTCTGGACAGTAACCATGAATGCCTGCAAAACTGCTTTGAGACCAAATATTGGGCTGGATCAATTTTGGTTTAATCCAATAAGGTATGTCACATATGAATCAAAATTCCTGAATTCTAATTGTTTCCACCACTGATCTGTTGTGAAAGACCTATGTCGAAACCCAGAAATGAAGAAAATAGTACTTACCAGGCTAAAAATTTTTTTAAATAAGTCATAACTAAATTTATTATTCAGGTTCAGAAAAGCCTTATGGTAAGAAATAAAAAATTAAGGTGTCCCATTCCAGCTATCACCAACTAAGACCTAAAATTACCACTGTTCTCTTTCCTAAAAAAGAAAATAATTAAGGAGAACTATTAGACAAGTTGTCATTTAATTGGAATATTTTACCATAATCTGAAAAATGAAATCTATATACCCCAAATGAAAAGCAGAGAACTATTCAAAAGCTTTATAAGAAAGGTATATGTGTAAATTTCCTCTTCCCCTAAACTTCTATGGGAATTATCATTTTGAGGTCTTTTCTGCTTCTTTGTTGTTGTTGTTTTTATTATTATTGGTCTGCTTCTCCTCATCATTCCCACTTTCTGTCTTATATTCTGTCTTTATCTTTTACTTCCACATTTTCCTCTTTAAATCAACCTTAAAAAGGTCCAGAGTCAGTAACTACAGAAAAATTACAGTAACACTAATTTTTAAATTCACTTAGGATCTGTGATGAAAACATTTAATATAAAACGGAATTGGCAAATAAAGGAAAAAGCATAATAGAAAAAGAGGCAGGAGTTTGGGAAAGCTCAAGTCAGTAAGAGCAGATGCCCACAATATGATGATTCACATGGTGAAGACAGCAGCAAGTTAGGGTTGCAGAAGCTACATGGGTCTATTATTAATAGAGTTCTTTCATATTTTAATGAAACTGAAAGGACAAAGACTTTTGGATCTTCCCAGGTCCTCTCTGCCAAGTGTAAGTTGTTACCCTTAAAAAAGCTGAAATAGCTTTTCAGGGCCACCTATTTGCAGAATGTGTTTTTCATTATTCCTTTTGTTCTTTTTGTTATCACAACCAATTCCTTAAACTATTATTCACACTCTTGTGTTTGAAAACCAGACCTACTGATGTGTAAAATTTAGGTAAATAATTTCAGATACAACCCCGAACATACTGCTATGATCACAAGACAAGGACATTTCACAGAATAAATTATCATGAGAAACATCTCTTTTGATGTAAAAATGATGGGTGGGGATCAGAATTGGAAAGATACTAGAAGAAATGTAAAACTGAGACTTAAAAATAATTTTAACTAAGGTATAATTGACATACAACATTATGTTAGTTTTCAGTGTACAACAAGATGATTTGATATTTATATACACTGACAAATGATCACCACAGCAAGTCAAGTTACCAATTGTCACCAAAATTATAAAATCTTTTCTTTTTTTCTTGTAAGGAGAATTTTTTAAGATTTATTCTCTTAGCAACTTTCAATATCACTGACTATGGGCACCATGCTATGTATTATGACCCAAGCACTTATTTATTTTATAACTGGAAGATTGTACCCTTTGATCCTCTTCACCCATTTTGCCCATCCCCCCAAACTCCTCCCAACTGGTAACTACCAATCTATTATTTGTATCTGTTAGTTTGGTTTTCCTTTGTCAGTATGTTTTGTTTTTTTAGGTTCTACAGATAAGTGAAATTTTATGGTATTTGTCTTTATCTGATTTATTTCATTTAGCATAATACCCTCAAAGTCCATCCATGTTGTTGCAAATGGCAAGATTTTATTCTTTTTTTATGGCCGAGTGGTATTCCATTATATATTTACCTACAACTTCTTTATCCATTCATCCACTGATGGATACTTAGGTTGTTTCCATATCTTGGCTATCATAAATAGTGTTGCAATGAACCTAGGGGTACACATACCTTTTTGAATTCGTGTTCCCATTTTCTTTGGATAAATACTCAGAAGTGGAATTGCTGGATCATATGGTAGTTCTGTTTTTAATTTTTTGAGGAACCTCCATACTATTTTCCATAGTAATTGCACCATTTACATTCCTACCAATAGGGCAAGAGGGTTCCCTTTTTACCACATTCTTGCCAACACTTGTTATTTCTTGTCTTTTTGATTATAACCATCTTAACAGATATGAGATGATATCTCATTGTGGTATTGATTTGCATTTCCCTGACGATTAGTAATGTTGAGCATATTTCCATGTGCCTGTGGGCCATCTGTATGTCTTCTTTGGAAAAATATTTATTCAGATCCTCCACCCATTTTTAAATCAGATTTTTTTGTGTGTGTGTATGTCCACCAGCTTTAAGAAGGCAGCGGGAGAGTGGGGCACATTCCCTGGCATTAGCAGGGCAGCTCTCCTGGAGAGTGCTGTGACTGTGTGCATGTGCCAGCCACTGCTAGCAAGATAAAGGGAGAGTGCAAAAATGGTGCTAGCAAGTCAGTAAAATGGAACAAGGTGGAGGAAGAGCACAAAAATGGCACCGATCTGTAGCTCCATCTCTAGAGACAGTCCCAATAGGCCCCTGTCCCTCTGACAGATGCTTTATAATTAGCAAATAAGTTTCTCCTTCACATATATGTAGTCTAGGTGCTGTTCAAACTGCTGCTTTTGCACTAGTTCTGGGGAAAATGAGTCTACCTATGAGCCTTTTAAGAGCAGAACCTTAGTTCCCTACAGCACTTTGGATCTCCTGGATGTAATAAGCACCATTGATTTTCAAAGCCAGATGTTTTGAGGGTTCATTTCTCCCCTGTTAAGTCCCAAGGACTGGTGTGCCTGACGCTGGTGTGCTGAGATCTCAGGGAGAGGCTCCATATTTGTGAGCTCCCTCCTGATTATTGGTTGCTGTGCCAAGGTAGGAAGTGGGTTCTGCTGAGACTACGTCTCTGCCTCTCCCACCCATCTCAGTGTGGCCCTGTATGTTATCCTTTGTTGTGGAGGAATTTTTCAGCTAGTTTTCAGGTCTTTTTCAGAGGGAATTTTTCCAAATGTAGCTGTAGATTTGGTGTGTATGTGGGAAATGAGTTCAGATATTCCTATGCTGCCATCTTGAACCACCTCCCAAAATATTTTTGAACGTATCTTTCCCAGTCAGGTTTGAATTGAGGCACTATCTTATATGCATGGTAGCTTGGACATCTTTCATAAATCAACACTTTAGAGACTACTAACTCTATATCCTAAGTTACCCAGGAATATCAAGGGGCTATAACAACAAAAAGAAAAGGGTAGAAGGTTCCTAGTAGCAGTAATACAAATTTCCCTTTCTCATCTCTCTTCTTCCTCTGACTACAGATGAAGAGAAAATATTTGCATGCAGCCTTAAAGTTATATTCTAGAATCAACTAGCCAAGCTTTGTCAGAAAATATTGCTGTTTTGGAAAATTTTAATTTATAGCAGTGCCAACACTCTGGTTAATTCTGCTTCCCTCAGCAATAAAGATTTTTTTCTTTCCCTGTTTTATTCCTCTTGGGATATTTGATTTTTCAACAGAGCTTATAGTTTTCCCAGTGAGCTGACCTATCTGGTCAACTAGGTCAGTTTTCAGCATAGCCATGATTTGTGACTCTTCACTACTCTTGCTGCCTGGGTGCCTTTAGGTATTTTTCTACCAGAAGAACTTGAAAATTGAAAATGACTGAGAATTCTAAATTAAGGCTTAGGTCCAAGTAAGCAAAGTACAAAGCTACCCTTTGTTGTGGTTGCTGCTGTTTAAAATATTCTCAGACTTTAGGAACTGACATTTTGCTGATTAAATGATCTACCCCACAGTGTAAGGCAACTTTACATAAGAGAGTTATGTAGATTTCACATTTTAAGCTCATAGCAATTGGGGGAAATAATGTGTTATGACTATAATAAAAGACATTTTAAATGCTAGAATACATCAGTGGATATTGTATCAACAACAGATATTAAGGTTTTGTAAAAGAAAAAGATCTATTTTTTATAAATGTATTTTTTTAATTTAAATTCAATTAGCCAACATACAGTACATCATTAGTCTCAGATGTAATGTTCAACAATTTATCAGTTGTGTGTAACACCCAGATGTAGTACTTAAAGGAAAACTCATTATGACACAGGAATCCTAATGTAGGAAGCTTCAATATCAGGAAATATTAATCCTTACAATGGTTCATAAGACTTTTCATGATCTGCACTCCCTTATTCACTGTCCAACCTTATCTTCTACTACTCTCCTCTTCATTTACTTTCTCCAGCCACACTGGCCTCTTTGTTATTCCTCGGACCTACCAGGTGCACTCCCTCCTATGACCTTTGTACTGGCTGTTCTCTCTGCCTGAGAATCTCTTTTCCCAGATTCCTTCTGGTTCATTCCTTTACCTCAGTCAAGTCTTTGCTCATCTCTCATCTTTTCATTGGAGGTTATTAGGATGCCAGATAAGACCACTGCTATTTAAGTTTGTTCTGGAAGTTTGTATTAAAGCAATATGGCAAGAAAAAGGAATAAGAGATACAACTATCAAAAAAAAAGCTAGTACACAACTCTCTTTCATTTGTTTAGGCAAATGCTACTGTTACATACCTAATAAATCCAAATAAATCTACTGAAAAACTGTTAGAAATAAAAAAGAATCAGTAAAAAGGTAGTAACAAATAAATATAAAAAACTAAGTATCTTTTCTAGTTACCAAAAATAAATAGAAAAAGCATGGAAAAGATCTCATTCATAACAGTAACCAAATAAAGAATACACAAATAAGCTTAAAAAATATCTGAGACCTATATGAAAAAAAACCTCTACTGAAGAACATAAGAGATCCAATAAAGAGAAAGATATGCTTTGTCCTTGAATGTAAAGATTCAGAGATGGAAATATACCAATTCTTCCCAAATCATCACATGAATGTAGTACAGTCTTAACTAAAACCCCAATAGTTTTATTTGTTAGAATTTGACAAAATGATTTTAAATTTATCTAGAATAACAAAAAACCTGAAAAGAATCAGGAAAATTCTAAAAAAGAAACTGTCATCCCAGAGATTCAAAGATATTTAGTAGCTAATATAATTAAGTAAATATGATACTGGTGCCAAAACAAACAGATTAATAGAAGTGTATAGACTATCTAGAAACAAATATATATGCATTACTGTATCATAAAGATGGTGCTTTTGGTCAATGGAGATCATGTGACATCTACCCAAGCAAAAATGGAGGAAGAGTCATTTTTATTTAAGATATTTAAGAAAAAAAAACACTGGAAAAACACACTGTTTAAAACCTTGGAGTGGAATAGGCTTTCCCAAGCCTGAGATGGATTTCAGGAACAAACAAATAAAAAGATTAAAATTCTAGCAACACAAACATTCTAAACTTGGACTAAATAAAATACGTCATAAAAAGTCAACCTACAAATAATAAAATTTGCAACAAATGACAAAGAAAGGGTAATATCTGTAACATATAAAAAGCTAGATGTCAATAAGAAAAAGGCAAGGAAAGGATATGAATAGGTAAAACACACAGTAAATATTAGCAATCAGTGAAAAAAAATAAAAATATAAGTAAACAGAAAGCTCAAATTAAAACTATAAAAAGATGCCACTTTTTCTTATATTTGCCAAAAGAATTGATAATTTCAATTATAAGAGTAGTGAAATTATGGGAAAATAAACTGGAACAACTTTTCTGGAGGACAATTTGGAAATTATCAAAAGCCTTAACAGTATATAACTATTGATAGAACAATTCGATTCCCAGGACTTTATCCTAAAAAAACTAAGTGCACCAAGATGCATGTGCAAGATTGTCATCACAATGATATTAATCATAGTAATTTATTAATAGTAGTAGTAAATATTTATCAGTAGGAAAGTAGTTAACTAAAATATGATACAGCCATTGAGTGGAATACTATGCAATCATTAAAAACTGCTTATTTAGATATATATTTACTGATATATGTGGGATACAGTAAATGGAAAAAAAGCAAATGATTTCAGAAAAAAATACGTTCACTTAAATAATTCTTAAAGAAGACCTATGAAAATATTAACTATACAGTGGAACTATGGATAGTTTTCACTCTGTATTTGACCTATTCCTATTTTTGGTATAATTTGCAATAAACACATACTACTTTTAGGAAGAATTAAAACAATTAAAGCTAGTTCAATTCAGAAAAAAAAATGTCTGCTGCATGTTCATCAAAAATAATGATAGGAGTCCCTTATATTTCCTGAGAATATAACCTACTCTTCCAGTAGCAACATAAGTAAGTGCTCCTAATAAAGATGGAGAGGAAAAGGAGCTCATAATGAAGAGAAGACGACCATTTTAGAGGAAAAATCTCATCCGTTTTCCTAAGGTGGCAGTCACAGATCTCTCATTCTTTCCTCTTTTCTGTCTTCTCTTGGGAGGAATTAATTAGAATTTTAACCAGGAAAAACTGGACTATATTTAAAGCCACGAAACTAGCCTGAATCAAAGAAGCTGAGGTAGGCAACCTTCAACTTATCTTGAGATATTAATTCAGGCAATAACAATTCATAAGACCACGTAAGTACCAAAGGCTCTACGAATTGTTCTCAGCAACATCAAGATCACAGGCACAGCTGTAGCCAGTTTGCTTTTGACCTCTTCCATTCACCTTTTTTGAATCCATCTGGTGTTACGGGTTCCATAGCCAACCTAAATCTAACCTTCTCAAAATAACCCCATACTCCAAAATTACTCTTCCCCTTTTCCTCAAATAAAACTCCCATTTCCAAAGAACTGCTGATGCAGCTAGATACTAATCTGATTAGGGAAAGAGCAGTAATGCACAAATACTGATAGGCCAAGAACATTTGTAATGATACTTCTTAATCTGACTCACTCGGGAGATACTTTGAAATAAGGTGACTTCTATGCTATTTGACAATTCAGGAGGCAGTACTTTATCTTAGCTATCAC